CCCATTGTGGACAGAAGTGTGTCAATAAGGTTTGGCCACAGCAGTTTTGACCTCATGACAGTCTGTGCTTTTTTTTTATCTGGTTGTCCTTGCTTTCTGGGTCTCCTAAACCCTTCTCCTTCTTGAACTCCCTCCTTTCAACAGGAAGCTACAAACAAGCCAAACGGGAGCCCCCCTGAGCACTTGGTCCCTGTTAACTGTGCAGCTGAGCTGAGGAAGAGAAGTCCCTCCATCATCCCTGCCAACAAGGGAAACGTGCTGCGGAAGGCCAAGGTCCTGCTTTACTCTCCCTCTCCTCCCTGGCCCCACCGGAATTCTCAGTCTTTGTCCCATCCCCATTGCTTTGGCGACTGGGAGTGCTCCCTGCCTCAAAGCTGCCAGGGTCCCCTGCAGGCAGGCTGACTCAGTACAGCACACTCACTGCTGGCATGGGCCCGGATTGCAGGGAAATTTGGGAGGTGCAGGGCTGGGTGAGCACTGGGAAAGCATTGCTTCAAAAATGCCCGGGGCAGCAGCAGCAACCCCAGCACAGGAAAAAAAACCCACACAGCCCCCAGCAGGGAGACATGACTTTGAAGGGCTCTGTGTTTCCTTCTCCAGCAATGTCTCCTCATCCCCTGCTTTTATTTTATCTTTCTCTGCAGGAATGGGAAAAGAAGCAGACTTAAGCCAGCCAGCCAAGCCCCTGATGGACACTGGAGCTCAAGGAGGAGCTACAAGCCCCCTTTCTCCAAGACACTGGGAGGGTGCTGGGAAGGCATGGTGGGAAGAGACATTCTCCCAGACCCCACCACTGTGGCACCGTCTGCCTCGTGGGCAACACTACAAACCAGGGAATAGAGGGCGGGAGTGGGATTTGGGAGGCGGGTGGGGAAAGGGAGAGTCCCTTGTGGATCAGGGTCACATACTACTGGGAAACCCATCTCTGGGGAGAGCCTGCCCCAGGGCCAGGAGTTCGACATAAGGTGTGTGTGCCCATGGTGGTGCATAAGGAAGGAGGGGAGAGCCTGGGAGCTGGCAGTTGGCACTGCCCAGCAGGCTCCCTGATTTATCAGGATCAGCATGAGTCCAGGCTAACACTTTCCAAAGCAACCACGGACTCACTGGGGATTTTTAGCTCCCTTAGTATTGGGATTCATGAGCTGCTCAGGACCAGACACTTCAGAGATGCTGATCATTCACCCTGCTCACTGCTCCCAGCTCTGCAGGGTCTCATCTCAGGGTTCCTCATGTCTCGAGCTTGCTGTGCCTCAACCAAGTGCCTTCGTCCAATATTTCCTTCTTGTCTTCCAGGCAGTAAAGGCGAGGGCGTGCTGCCTTCCCTTGGGAATGAAGGAAGCTCAAGTGTCAGCATTTGAAAGCAAATTAACAGTGGACACCTCTCACCCTTGCTAAACAGCTTAGAAGTGCTGTAAAGGGCTGAGGCTGGAGGCAGCCCTGCTCTCTGCCCTAGTCCTGTTGCTTTCAGAGGAGTGGGAAGGGAGCAGGGCTCTGTCCTGGCCCACAGTGCATTCACACTATTGCTGCCGCAGTCAGACACAGGTTGCCAAGGCATGTGGTCAAAATGGAGCGAGGGGAAGTTTAAAAAAAAAAAAACAAAAACACAGAAGTGCTATCAAACAGGGGGATTGGAACAGAACAGAGAAATACAAGAAGGTCATTCAGCACAGGCAGAAACAAGGGACAGGAATGAAAAGGAAAGGCCCAGGCTTTTGCGCTGGGAACAAGGGAGTCGGACCATCACCCACTCATGCTGTCACTGCCACAATTAACCTCTGGAGCTCGCTCTTTCAAAGCCCTGTGTTAGTAACTAGGTAAGCAGCTTTTAATAAAAAAACTGGCACTGGCCCGCTGGTTCCTCTGGCTGAGGGAGCATGGCAGGAAAGCTACTCCTGCTCACAGGGAAACAGGCCAGGGTGGGTCTGGGGTGAGTTCAGCACTCCTGCAGCAGCTTGGATGGGCAGGTTGGGGGAATCTTGTACACAGTATTAGTGATTGCTGTTAGCTCAGAACCCTGTGCTCAGCTGCCTGCTACCACAGCCTATGAAAGCATACCAGAGAATCTCAGAGTGATTTGGACTGGAAGAGACCTTGAAGACCATCTCATTCCACCCCTGCCATGGG